CACGCGCACACCCACCCAAACTCAACTACCACTTCCATAGTTGCTGTTGCTATGACGTCATTGTTGCGTTACTGCTGTTCAACACTGATCCAATTGGTACACCACACACCTCAGTTCTCCCATCCCTTTCCCCATCAACGAGGCTGTTAGGAGCAGAAACACTTCTGTGCGGTGTGTTTGTCGAATCCAACGCCTCAAGCCACAAAATTGTGGACAATGCACTCGTCTGCTCCTTCGAACGCCACTCACTCCTGGTGGTGGTGGTGGTAGTAGTAGTAGTAGTAGCGGTGGTGGTGGTATCAGTCAAGACCTTTGGTAAGGAGCTGGTAACTGCGGCATCGGAAGTGAGTTGAACTGCGCATGAAAGGTACTACACTGAAGCTTGAGTTATCAGTCACTATATGACTACCAATGTGAAACTTAATCGCTTTTTGGTTGCCTGTCAAAATTGGCAGCTTTTTATCTCGTTCGTGCAAATCGTGAAACAGTCTTTTCCAGCGAATTCATTTAGTCAACCCTTCGCCGATCATGTATCAGATAAATCTGGTCTCTGTTACCCATTTGCTTCGGTTAAATAATTATTGTTTGTTTGTTGGATCAGACATTAAATTTAAGTTCATAATGGATTTACTACTGTTTGAACCAGAACCTCCATAAATGCACTGATGTGAGACATGGGTCCATTTTTTTCCTCTACAGAGGTCTCAGAGCCCTGGTGCGTAGTCCGGGTGGTGAGCGACCGGCCTCGTGGACTTCCCATTTCCACCCTCATTCAGCCACCGCAGCCTGTGGGAGTGCCATGCACAGAGGCGACGATTTCTAGGGCCTCCGCTGAAGATATGGCGCGGATCCGCGTCATTGCGGCAAGCGTACTTGAGGCTCTTTGCTGGCTCCGCTCGCACACCATGAACCACCGTGACTTACAGGTTCGCTTCTTGGATTACGCAAACCTTGTATCTTGCTGAATATGTGCCCTTGTCGAAGACACATCCATCCAAAATAGGCAATAATGATTTAATTTGATCGTTCTACACCTCACAGTTTCGAAAAGCCCTTATAATTGTGTGTGTAGAAGGATCAGAGCCACTTGTTCTTGATTCTTTCTCTTTCCTCTGTTATTAGCCTGAGAAGATTTTTATGGACGGAAAAGGTAACGTACAAATCGCCGAGTACGAGTTCGACAATCGCTTGGACTCCTATTTAGAGGGTCTTCGCGGAGGTGATAGGTCGTGCTCAATTACAGTTCCCCCGCCTCCAAGTAGAATCAAGAAAGTTCATAGGAAAGACGTCTATAATCTGGTAGGTAAAAATCTTCCATAATCAATGCAAGACTTTCTGTTTGAATACAACAGTGCTTTGTCCCACCGATTCAACTCTTTCTGACCTTCCTATTTCAAGGCAGCACTTATGGGGTTTTAGCCCCCATCTCAGCAAAAATAATTGCGCCTAAGTTCTCCTACAAGTAGCAGCCTGGTTCATACTCATTGCATGTGTTCATTCGATCTGTCTATGTGATTTGTTGACGTGCGCAAGCTCTACAGTTAGGAACTTAGACATTGAGGGGACTGAGTCAATGACAATTCACCAAAGTCGGATCGAACTACCATGCCAATCTCATCACTCTAGATCATCACTCCTTACGAGCTTTGAAAGATACCTTTCGGAGTACTTCTATCATTTTAATCATTTTCGTCCCCGACTGTCAGGCTTGAACACGCTGAGGGATGATAGTACGGCTATTCTCTCGTTTGTGGCACCTTCCGTGCACACGTCCACGAAGACTATCTGATTGACAGCTCTGAATCACTTCGTCCCGCTTTTTTTGCAAAAAATTTTTTTTCAAAATCGCTTTCCTCTACAATAGCTCTCTTCAGCGCCATAACAAGACCTCCTGATGCATAACTCAGGTGCCTTTGCCCTCATGCACTTTTTTAAACTGTAGGGGTTAATCCTGGTCTACTTGGCGACAAAGACGCCACCAGATAAAGTGGATGCTCATGGGAATCCTGTTTTTACACCCGCTCTGTATGCCGTCTTGCCTTATGCTCCAGCTTTCAAGGATTTCATTCAGCGCTGTCTTTGTAACACAGCCTCCTCTTCGGCCTCGGAATTACGCGACCATCCTTTCATAAAGGAGCCAATTAACTACGCACCACTTTCCACTGCCCCATCCGACCCACAGACTGGTCGCAGTCTGGTTAACAACTTTGGTGAGTCTTAGAGAGGTAGTTCTGCAGTCTTCGCATCACCTTCCTTCATCAACATGCTTAGTTGTTGAAATTCTGTGTCGGTTATCATAGAACTCATCGAAATTTGGAAGGAGATTCCTTTGTTTGATCTAATCCTCCTCTAAATGTTGTGATGTCTAAACTATCTCTGAAGGTATTCAAAAACAACCCATTGTTGGTATAAATGATGAATTGAAGAGCACTGAATTTAGGTCGTAAGGGGCAAAGTTGGGAGCGAATGAAAGGATTTGGTCAATTTGTTTTTTTTAGACGACAATGTTTTCTGTCAGTCACAAAAAGGCGAGCGTTCACGCCTTTACTCAGACTTTGAGGACTTTTCCGTCATCGGACAAGGCGCATTCGGCTGCGTTGTTCGAGTGGGTGCACCGTTTTCTCTGGCTTTCAGTTATGAGGATAGCTGGTTTTTGTCGTTTTTTTGTTCCTTCTTAGGCAAGAAACATAATCGAGAATCGCGAATATGCCATCAAGTGCGTTCGCATTCCACGCTCACAGGCGGATATTGTTCTGCGAGAGGTGCGGACCCTAGCGGGTCTACAGCATGATAATATTGTGCGTTACTACACCTCATGGAAGGATGTTTTCTCAGAATCTTTGCCACACACTCGAATGCAATGGGCTCGCAATGCTATTAAGCCCTCAGGTGACTGTAGCATATCTACTGTTCAAGAAAGCAAAGGAATGGAAGAGGACACGGAGGAGGAAGTTCCATTCGACATCAACAACTTGGATTTGTCTCAGGTAGAGCAAGACCTCCGAAAGCGGACAGCACGTGCCACTCGCAAGTCAAGACGTAAGCTTCCCTCATCAACTGGATCACGCGCTGCTGCTTTTTTCCTCTTGTTTTAGTCCCTGGTTCACCAGGTGAGGAACCGGTATGGGGTTTTAGCTACTCCAACTCCTCAGACAATGACGATTCTTCAACAGACACTATAACGACATTGGACCCTCCCTTTGAGCGCAGCGAAGATAAGTAGGTTCCTCGATTCTCACTTGACCTTACTTGCACCGCGTTTAGTTCATATAGTGAAGAAGATGATGAGGAAGAGGAGGAGGACGAAGAGGAAGTAACGAAAGAGAACGCAGGAATTTCAGTGAGTTCTCACTATTAAACCCATTATGCATCGCCTTTTATTTAATATTCTCTTCTCTCTTCTAGTACATTATCATTCAAATGGAGCTCTGCGCCTGCAAAAACTTGCGTACAGTATTGGATGAAGAGGTGAATCTCAACCAGGATCGTGCCTGGAGCTACTTCCGGGAGATGACGGACGCATTAGCCTACATTCATTCGAAGGGGGTCATCCATCGGGACTTGAAACCAGCCAATATCCTCCTGGATGCGGAAGATCATGTGAAGATTGGAGATTTTGGGCTTGCCATTCGAATGTCCAAGCTCGCTGACTCTGCGCGGAAGGAGTACTCGGCGTTCATGGTAGGACGGTTTCGTGCGTTTTGCGTGCACACACCAAGCCCTGCTCTTACATCTACGAGATTCTAGAATATGTGGTAGAAGTCGTAAGTTATCATCAGTGAGACATGTTTTTGGTCGTGCAAAATGATAGGAAACTAAGTGTTTCCAAAAGATCTTGGGTGTGCGAACTGCGGCTGTAGTGTTTCGTCATGCAACTCCTTGTTGGCAGTTCCATCACTTTCCCTTGTTTCAAACCACCCCCAGTTTAAATGTCATCAGTGGTGAACAGATGTGATTTGGGACCAGTGCAATACCTTGCATGCTCAGTTCAACTCACTTCCGCCGCCGCCGACGCCGACGCCACTACTACGACCACCACCACCACCAGGGGTGAGTGGCGTTCGAAGGAGCAGAGGAGTGCATTGTCCACAATTTTGTGGCTTGAGGCATTGGATTCGACAGACACACCGTACAGAAGTGTTTCTGCTCCTAACAGCCTCGTTGATGGGGAAAGGGACGGGAGAACTGAGGTGTGTGGTGTACCAATTGGATCAGTGTTGAACAGCAGTAACGCAACAACGACGTCATAGCAACAGCAACTATGGAAGTGGTAGATGAGTTTGGGTGGATGTGTGCGTATCACCAATGTGTACCGATGTCGATGTCAGTGGCACGTCACAAATCGTGAGACAATCAAGTCTTCCTGTCCCACTTTCCTCATGTGGTCTCGCCTACGAGCACGACCTTTTGCTGGTCGAGGTGGGATGGAAGGACGGTCTCACTGTTGTGCCCAAGTGTTGGCTACGCGAATGAACCTGCCACCACCTTCCAAGACATCACTAGAAAGGTACGAGAACAGGGTTGGTTTGAGAGTGAAGTGCGTCTGTCGCAGAGGCTGAATGTAGGGGCAGCGTTTTTTAGGTTTGAAAGATGTGTAGACAGAGGATGTTTGGGATTTGGGGGGTGGAGTGTAGTGCTTTTTGGTTGTCGTCTTCTCGCACTCGCGACCATGGCGGAAGCAACGGATGGTGGGGAAACGTGGATGATTGGAACTGAAATACCTCCTGCCTTGTGGAGACCAAGTGGAATTCGAAGATAGCTTGAGTCGCGTTGGAGAAGTTTGCGGTTTGTAATGGTCACGTTTATGGAGCTTTCGGTTATTGCTTAACGAAGTCGTATCCTCATATTAGTTGGACCCAAAGCTGTGAATGCTGCTATTACTTTTTCTTCAAACACTTTTACACTTGGTCATGAATCGAGCAAACTAGATGAATTCTTTTTTTGGCAGATTAAAATTGAATGAATTTGCTGGTATGGTATAAGGACAGAGGTGATGCATCCAATTTTGCCTCTAAATGCACCACAGGACACGTAAACTCGGAGTAGCCTTGTCATTTGGTTACAGGGAGAATGGGAAAGCAAGATTTCATTCCTGGCTTAATTAGACCTAATGTAATACCAAACTGATTTCAGAGACGTCCCCAAAAAGTCGCCAGTCAGGCATTGAGGACAGGCATTTGTTACTATCTGTGATGGTTCGGGTTTAGATAAGTGAAAATATGCGAACAAATATAGACTCAATGACGATTTTTATGGAAACCTTCTCCTCTTATTCAAAGCACGGAGTTCGAAGTGGGGCTCAGCTTTTTCGCCACACTGTATCCACTAGCAGCGTGGAGATGTCGGGAGATGGTGGCTCTCTTACAAAAGGGCCATATGGACCAGTGGAAAGTAATCCTTCCTCCTCCAACGCACACGCACTGACCCCTGCCAGGGCTAATTTCATGACGGAGAATGTGGGCACAATATTCTACATGAGTCCAGAGATCGCCTCGAAACGGAAAAAGCGACTAGTCTATGATGAGGTGTGTGTCTACTTTCTCCCTCTCATGCATTCATCATTCATTCACTTATCGCAGACTTATTGATGCGTTCCCCATCCATCCATACATTTATTTGGTCACCTCGGATTTCCTTGCATCCCAAACATGTCTCTTCCCTTTTGCTCTCACATGGGCCCACTTCAACTCCAAGTCTTTTACTCCCTTAGAAAGTGGACATATACAGCCTGGGTATTATTCTCTTCGAAATGTTCTACCGTCGCACTAACACCCTCATGGAGCGTGTCAACGTGCTCAGTGATATCCGCAAGCCAAATATTATCTTTCCCGAGGACTGGGATGTACAGACCAAACCCAAGCAGACTGCTCTCGTTAGAGCTCTCCTTCACCATGATCCCGCCCGCCGACCGACGGCTTCTGTGTGTGCTTTCTTACACTTCTGTCGGTGTTGGGTTTCAGTTCGCTAAAATACTGAGTGTTGCTGTTTCTAGAGTGTTGAGTTGTGCGCCTTTTTTTCCTGTCAAGATTCAGTATTGCAATTTTTAGCAATAGTAATGTGCAATACGAATGTATGCTCTTTCTGCACCTCTGTGTGGTACATCACCACTCCCAAATTTTTGCGTCGTTCTATTCTGATCAATGCTTTCCGAATACTATCACATAACCACACACACTCCAAATGCTCTACTGCACCACATTCGGCGGAGAATTACCCTTTGTGGATGTAGAACTGAGTGAAACGAGGCCCACTAAACAGAAAATCAAATTTACGTCAAGTTATTCACTGTAGGATATCCTTGCGTCCCCACTCATCCCTCCACTGGAGTCCACAGAGTCGGCATTTCGGAAACAAGTCCTCGATATATTTCGGGATCCAGGCAATAAGCTCTACTGTTTCATTGCAAACAATCTTCTCACTATGTCCTGCTCTCGGACTGCTGTAAGATTTATTTTTAGAAACACGCCTTTGAAATATGGCGTGAGCTCTGCTACCTCTAGTTTTGTTGTAGGACTTTCTCTACGACCGCTCCAAGTCACTCATCACCAATTTCTCCTCCCTTCAACTACCTTGCCTTTTTGACCCCTCAGGATCGGATGACCCAGATCCACTGCGTGACTTTTCGCGCTATCAACTTTTTGAACGGTATATTGTCCACCACCTCGAAGCCATTTTTGCTGCCCATTGCGCTTTGCCTATCCAACCACCTACGCTGATCCCGGTGAACAAAAGATCTGTTGCATGCTGGTTGCATCGTCCCGATGCCACCACACTCGCTGCCACTTCAGCAGACTGTCTTCAGGCCCCTTTAGACATTGGACGTAGTGAAGCGGAAAGCAGTGGTGGGAGGAGTGGATCAGAGGCGGAACAGCTGGAAGATGCGCGCACTACTATGGGCGGACCGGTGCTTCTCGATGCCCAGGGTGTGCCTGTCTCCCTACCCGATGCACTTCATGTTGGTCTGGCGCGGTTCCTAGCCAATACAGGGATTAATCCACCTTCATTAAGGGAACTCAGAACTTACCAGATTGGACGAATCTACCGACCATGGCCACACGCCAATCCCTTTAGAGCTTTGGATCATCCTTTGGAGATGAAACGAGCCTCTTTCGATATAGTTGCGGCAAACTATGAGTAAGTCTGACATGACGTGTAAGACTTCTCGATCTTCTTATCGAATATTTAACGTCCTAGTGAATAAGCGTTATAATTTTTTACTCAGTATTATCATTCTTTTCTCCTTCTAGGCCTCATCTGTTGGTGGAGATATTTCACATCTTAAGTGAAATCATTTCTCTGATCCCACTCGAAGTGAGTTGCCCTCAAAACATGTATATTCCTTCTTCATTGCTTGATCAATTTACATTCACGCCTAATTATCTTCAAGCCTGACACTTTCACTTGCACTCTTTCAGGATGTGACTTACGTTCTCTATCTCAACCATACCGACCTGCTGGAGTACATTTTCAAGGTCCTCTCTGTGCCATCAGATCTGCGTGTGGGTCTGTGGCGTCACCTTTCTGAGGCTTGTGAGACTCCTGAAGCCGTGCTTCAACAGAAACAGGAGTCGTCTGGTCTGCCATTCCGTCGGCATATCGTCTTTCCTGACTATCTTCTCACCACCCTATACCAACAAAATGAACAACACCTCCATCAGTCCAAAAATCATCACCAACACGGCTTCTTACAGCGTCATTTGGCTCGACTAATGCGTCTTGAGACAACACGAGTGGAGGAGTTGGCTGAGGTTCTTTTGGAAACGCCCTCGCATCGACACTGTATGTCTCGTGCCACGAAGGAGGCTCACATCCGCCTACCATGTCGGCGTCTCGCGAAACTTCTCAACTATATCCGCCTTTGGAAAGCGATTCCTTCACTCCACGTAGGTCCCATAGCTCTGTACTTAGGGTATTTGCTGTTTTTGTGCATAGAGGAAATGCAATTCTTGAGACCGATGTGGCATACGTTGGAAGCTTAAGTCAAGCCCGATTTGCAAGCTTATTCGTAATCGTGCCGACGTAAAACTAGTGCATTTAACTTTGCCCTTATCGTCTTCTCTTTGCCTTCCAGGTTGTTCTAGCCCCAGCTCTGGTCTTGCCCTGCCACCTTTATCAAGGGCTCGTGTACCAGTTGGTCTGCTACTCGTCCAAAGCCGGTGATTTTAGGAGTCTGGTGAACGAGGAGAAACCCACCATTAGTTCGGTTCCGGGAGCTTCACAGGCCAACTCACGCACCCGACTCCTAGTTCTTGCCTCTGGGGGGGAGTACCAGCACCTTTTACAGCAATTTCGACCACCGCAAGCATTCCTACGCATTCAGTGAGTTCTATTTTAATGTAATTAAAACGTCGCTAAGACTGCGGCAATGATAGCTTATAAACTATTATAGGGCAAAAGTTTTGAAGTCGAGACAGATTGATGGCGATGCAGACACTGACTGCGAGGACGAAAATGACGATGGAGAAGACGAAGAAGAAAAAAAAGGGAACCAGAAGGTGGTGTCTACGGCAACGCCTTGGGAATCCACTGCTTCCTCTCATCTCAATCCCCCCATTTCATCTGCTCTCTCCGCTATCACCAATTCAACTACTCCTTCGGGTGTCTTTGGGGTCACTGTATCGGTGAATCAGCTGGTCAGACTTCTGCTCTATGCCGTGCGCAAACATTCTGTCAGCCCGCCATCCGTAAGCGTTTCTGTTAGTTGTTTAGCTGCCCCCAGGATCTTTCCGAATCTGAATCGGACACATTACTGTAACCCTTCCTTTTACCTTTCTTGCAGTTGACCATGCCCCTACTACTGGCTACCTCGTTGTGCCATGTGGTGGTGA